ACTGCTACTGTTCTGTTGAAATTTTAAACAAATATCCTCATTTGTGGCTCTCATTTTTCTTAGAAACAAAAATCTGGTAAAAAATAAATAAATAAATAAAAATTGGTAATTCTTTGTTTTTAGATTCATTGGGCCCCGATGTAAGTAAATTTAAGCACTGCATAAATTATGGGTATTTTACAGAAAAGGAAATACAGCAAGAAATGTATATGTACTGTATAAATAATTGCATGTGTTGCATAGCTTCCTGGTAATTGTGTGTGAAAGAAAAAAGAATAAAGTTATAATTGGTGCAATCATTACAAGGTCACAAAGGCCTCCAAATTATGATAGTATTTATACTTTTTTTTTAAGTCGGTAAGCGAGAACAGTTCTTGGCACATTTATATTGGTAAAATAAAACACATGTAACACAACATCAAAGTAAGGACTATTAAAGAAAGATGTAAAAACAAACAAACATGTAAGCACGCAAAAGAAATAAGAAATGAGGAAGAGTTTGAATACTTTTTAACCCACCTCAAGCTCCAGGTTGCGGGAGCTGGACACCCAGTAGTTAAAGCCCAGAACCAAGATACAGGCGATCAGAGCGGCAATCATAAGAGGCGGTGACCTTACTCCACGACGCCCGTTCCCCAGCCCACCCATTGCTGTCTACCAACTGAAAACACACAAAGCACAGCCACGGTTAGCACACTTCCCCACACTTTATTTTCAAACTGCATCTTTTAAATACATCTTTTCTGTGCATTTCTGGCAAAAAGGTGGTGGTTTTGCAAGTTGGTTGCAGACACGTGAAAAAAAAAAGCTCGCTGTCGCTTGTTGCAGCTTTTGTGTCAGCAAAAACACAAAAAGCTTACACAGGAAATGTTATTTGCACATACATACAGACAACAGTATGTTGAGTGATTCTATTGGAAACAACACATACACAGCTTTGGTGTTATGTTTACAAATATTACACACCTGTACGGTGTCACACTAAACATACCCAGCACCACAAACAGCAAAAAATGTCCTCCAAAGTGGTGACTCAGTTAAAATGTTTTTAATTGGGAGGGGGAAAAACAAGCTAGAAGGACATTCCCAAGGACCAACGGGAGCTAAAATGCAACAACTACACATCAAAGAGCAGCATTACACATCACCGACGAAGTGCCGTATTGTCTAGTTTGTAATACATACTGTCGACGTAAATAATATGCGGATTCCTGCTTTTCGTGTTTCTCCTTCGTCAAACAAATGACCCAAGGATTGCAAAGGCGCAAAGAACTGTTTAACGTGTAACAAAATTAACGACCAGCAAACCTTCAATTTAACATCACGTTAGAAAAATCTGACGGCTACTACTAAATCAAAGCACAGGCCTGGAGCCAGGGTATACCTGTGCGGTGTTTGGCAGTATACATCAGAGCCACCCGTATCGTGACTGTGGCGATAACACGGAACTCGAAAAAAAAAAGGGGTCCATCGTATAATTGATTAGGTAAATTCAGGTCAACAGAAAGCAGGAATACTAACTTCGAATTTTTTATGTATATTGTTTATTAAATGTGTGACAAAGCTACATAAACGTGTAAAGAAATGGCCACATTTGTCTGTTTTTAAATTTGGGCCAATGCTAAAAGAAGAAGCGAAGGAACTCAACGTTGCAAGCTAACGCTAACATTGTTAGCAGCGCTGTTCCTTCACAGTTGCTGTTACCGTTTTTAGGTCGCTTAGCTAAAACTAGCAGCCGAACCTACTTACCGGATATGTCTGCCTGTCAGAAATCAGAGCCAATTTTATGAGGCGATATATGGAGTGACACCTCGTAATATATTCCAACAGCTTTTGTAGACGTTTTGTAACGTTGGACGATTAGCTTGTATCCATCATTGCCACACAGACAGCTCAGTCTGTGTGCTCTGCCTGCTGCCTAGGACTGAAACGTTCAAGTACCTCCCCTGACTGCTGTAAAAACAAATCATATTTAGTTTCACATAAATAAATTAATAGACAACAAAATCCCCCTAAAGCCCCAATTTAAGTATTTTGTAATATCAATTAAAAAACACAAATTATTACTTTTGGCTGCTGTCAAGTAATAAATACTGACAGACTGGTAGTCTAGGCTACTTTAAGATCTAAGAATATGTGTTTTACGAAGTGCCTAGGAAGGCATCACCGGTAACGGTCTATCAATTAGAGGTTGATTAACGTAAGATTAACGTGTCATATCATGTTAAATAAGATTTAAATAATAAATGTAGGTATATTAAAAATACTAATACATGTAAAAATAATTAAAAATCAAACAATAAAATATTATATTATTTATAGATAAACTAATGTAAGCAGGATAGGGATTTCTTTACCCAGCCTTTCTTTCTTTCTTGGGCATGATCTGAAGTATGAGTTTTATCATTTAAGTGGGAATTGTATGGGGTTAGAACGATGCCACCTTAAAATAAAACTGAAAAAAAAATATTGAAACTGAAAAAAAATATTGTAAATGAAATAAATGTACTGAAACATTTTGTATTGAAAGTGAAAAAAATGATAGTAATAAAAGATTAATTGAAACTGTAAAATTTTTCACTTTCAATATTTTTTTTTTCCAGTACTATTTTAAGGTGGCATCGTTCTAACTTCATAGGACTGGTGTTGTTTTTTGGTCATGCAAGAGAGTGCTACAACTTTTCTCTGTCTATTTTGAGTTACATTTTAGTATAATTTTGTTTTTTCTTGTGAATTGTCTTTCTTTTCTATGGTTTAATGGTTTTGAAACTTAATGAAAATGTTCATAACAAAAAAGAAACAAACTAATAATTATAATTATAATTATAATTTATCCCATTTGTCTTTTGACTTCTTTTGAATATTTTTTTTTTAAATGATACATGTGATATTTTAAAATTAAACAACATTTGTCTTGTTCAGATTGCATTAATTGATTTTTCAAGTTGACAAACTTTATGATTATGGCTAATTATAACATAAATATGGAGTCAATGCATATATTTCAACAAGAGATGTAAGATGGTGTGTTGAGAAGTATTTTCAGAAACTGATGAAGAAAAAATGAAATGGGGGACAGATGAAGTTAAGTTAGTGGATCAGGAAGTGCAGAGAAGTAATAAGGAGGAAGTGAGAGGAGCTATCAAGAGAATGGAAACAGGAAAGGTCCAGATGACATACCTGTGGAGGTATGGAGAAGTCAGAGACAGAGGGCAATGGACTTTAACTTGATTGTTTAATACAATTTCAGAGGATGCCTGAAGAATGGAGAACTGCACGGTACTTCAAGAACAAGGATAATGTGAAGAGCTGTATTAACTACAAGAATAATGGTAATAAGCCATAGCATGAAGCCAGAGTGCTTCATGTGCTATGTTCGCCTTAAGAGTGTTGATGGAGATGTATAGAGAGGGTCATAAGAAGTTGCACTCTCTCAGCACTTACGATAAGGTTTCAAGAGAGGAATTTTGGTACTCCACGGGGAAGTCAAGAGTGGTAAAGTATATGAGCGTGGTGCAGGACATGTATGAAGACAGCGAGACAGTGGTGAGTTGTGTGGTAGAAGTGACAGATGGGTTCAAACTAAGGGTGGGCCTGACTCACAGATTCAGCGCTGAGCCCTTTCTTGTTTTTAATGATGATGGGCAGGACTTATGTTTGCAGACAACATTGTGCTCTATTGTTAGAGCAGGTGGAAGAATGCCTAGAGAGGTGGTGGTATGCATTGCACTAGCAAAAGTCAGGGGCCCAAGGTGGACATGGCAGAGCTGAAGATCCTCGAACTGGGAGGGACCAGGATGAGAAAAGAGTAGATGAGAGGAACAGCTCAGGTTGAGTGGTGTGGAGAAAAGGTTAGAGAGGCAATGTTTTTGAAAGGGAAAGTGGATATATTGGACAAATTATGTCATTAGGACATGCAGAGGGCTGCAAAAAATACACGTAAAAAACCCCCAAAAACAAAACTCTGTACACTCATGGAGTTACAGTATAAACCTCTCTCCATATATTTGCAAACAATTGTCTTGCAATAATTATCTATTTAAAAGAAAAAAAAAAAAACAACCCTCAGGTCATAAAATAAAATAAACATTGTGACATTTGAAAAAAGTGCTATAAAGGACATCTTGGGATGCTGCTTTATATATTTTAGGCCACTCAAAATCCAACAGCAGATAAAGTACATGCAAAAACATTATGTTTTATTTATACAATAACAATTGAACAGTTCAAAATTGTATAAATAGATGCCTGGAGACGGCACCACATGAAAATGACGCTATTTAGCAGATACAGTTGAAAACAACTTTAAACATGTTTATGTTTTTGATATATTCTCTTTGACATTTTGCTTTAGGCACAGAAATTGAATTTCAAATTAAATAAATATAAAATCTATGCACATACTATGAGCTCTGTTATCCACCAATTTTATTATAAAACATAACAATATCAAGCATGCATTTACACATGTGTTAAGTTCTTACTGTTACTGATCGCTATGAATACCACCAAAAATGCTTGTGATATAAACCCTTTATTAAAGTTATATTTTACATCTATTAAACATCTTTACTTTTTTTTTTCTTATGAGTGAATTATCTGCATTCAGACTTCCCTTTGAAGAAAATGTACCATTTGAATCATTTATTCTATTTACAGCACATATTAGCTTTTTGATTTCCCTCCAGGTCCTTCATGCGTCACACGTCGTCAAACACGCCCTTCACTGGAGGTGACAGAGTGAGGTAACTTCCTGCTGTGGATCTACAGCATTAAACACAGTGACACAGTGCGACAGAGAGGGACTGTTAGCATTCTTTTAAAACACAATATTATTCAGATTTATTTTAACACTAACCAACAATATTCTTGGTACTGAATGACATCATACCTTCTGTTGAGCGACTCGTCATCACTGGAGTCTTCCTGCAGTAAGCCCGTCTGCTGCTCGTCGGCCTTTTCGTTTCTTCTGGTAAATGTGACAACTGTGAATACAGAGAAGAAAAGATGCACAACACTAGTAAGCAGGTTGACTTCTTCTACAAGGGGTGGCTATAGCTTCAGAGATAGAGGTCATCTACTAATTGGAAGGTTAGTAGTTCGATGTATGCATTCGCAGAAAAACCGTACCTGTATGACTGGGTGAATGACACAAGTTGTATAATGAGTGCTTAAGTAGAGTAGAAAAGCACGATATAAAAACCAGTTTATTTACCATATAAATCATGATAATCCATCAAAAATCCATGTTTGGTGTAATTCAAAACAAAGGGGGAAAGGTGGTGACATGTTAAAAACTCTAGAAATGTTCTTCGTAATAATCATCTGCAGCAAAGAAATGACCGTTATCTACCATCTGCTAGATATTTATATATGTAGAAATATATATAGATGTAAAGCAGGCAGTTGTTCATGTGCAGCGTATTAGGTTCTTGCCACATAATTTGAATCAGATTGAGATCTTGAATTTGACTGTAATTTTACAACACTTTGATTCAGACTTGTTGCTGCTGCTCGGAATCATTATCTTGTTGCATTACCAAGCTACAACAAGGCTTTAGCTGTCAGACAGATGGCCTCACATTTAACTCTAGAATACTTTTTGTACAGAGCAGTTTGTGGTCAACAGGTGCCCAGGTCCTGAGGCCCAAATCATTACACCCGCACACCCTGCTTGACAACTTGTATGAGATGTTTTCTTGCTGTGTTTGGATAATAAAATGCAAACCAAAGCCATGCTGCCAGGTTCTTTTTAGAGAAAAGAGGCCTTCTTGTGGCAGCACTTCCAAACAAGCCATACTTGTTCAGTCTTTTGCATAGATTCCTGTATGATAAGTTCTTTTTTCTTGTGTCATGTTCATAGAAACCTAAGAATAACTTCCTGTGGGAACACAGGGGTGGTGCTTCTTCCAAAGAAACCCAACCAGGCAAGCTGTAAAGCCTGTATGGATATGTATCTCATGTGGGTGAGGTGCCCTAGGTCTAAAATTATAGATTTTTAGTTTCTTGTATGAGCAGCAAGTTAGGTGGACAAATATCAATTTTAAAAAAAAAAGTGTGAAGAAAATATTAGATAGATGTAGTGATATGAGAAAGAGCCCTACCACTTTTCTTGATCTTTGTTACAGGCTCCTTCTGGTCATCCTTTAACTCAGTGTAACCAGCTCTGTTCCGCCCAGCGGCCCCATCGACACCATACCGCTCCCTCCACGCCTGAAGCACAAAACAAAGTAGGCACACTATACACACAAACCAGTAGAACCGGCAAGCCAATAGGCTGGATAGATCTTCTTGTCTTGAGCGACTAAAGAAAATATCTACCCATCTTCGATTCTCTCCATCTTCAGCTCTTTGTCTTTTCCTTCTTTCTACAGAAGAACAAATTATAAAACATACAGTACAAACATAACAAACATACAAAAAACCCTTTTTCATAGGTTACTATAATAATGCATGAAAACATTAACTGTAAAAATCTGGATATGTTTAGCCGTCAAAACTGCTGCACAGAAACTTCAGAAAGAGTAAGCGATTGAACTTGTGATCAAATTACCTCTTTTGATGAGTTCCCTGCCTTCATCCACCAGGTCAGAGATCAAATCATCATCAGTGATGTACTGATGGAAGCCCAAGAGGTTCAAACAGCGAGGCCCCAGACTACAAAAAAAAAATGATTGACATACATACTGTAACACATAAGTTCTTATACTCAAGACAAAAACGTGATGGGTTTTTCAGAGCAGATTCCTTCTGCAAAATGGCCATTTTTTTGCTCATAATTAACCTTCATCTTAAGTGTATCAGAGTAATAAAAAGTATAAAACTAATAAATTTCTACCGTGCAATTTGTGATAAACAGGTGGGTAGTGTATAGCTGGGGTGATTTTAACCACACTGGATTAAATTGTTAAGTAGTATAAAATAAAGGGCGTGATAATGTGTTT